CGCCCTTCTTCGGGCTCATCAGGTAGGCGCAGTCCCCGGGTTTCCGTCAACCTTATGTTCTACTTCAAACCAAATTGCACGAAATTAGCGAAATACACTGTTGCAAACTAATTTGGATTTTCGAGAGGCTCACCTGGAACCCAGCTGAATCCCTCGTTCGTGATGTTTCCAGGCACGTTTCAGAGAACGTTTTGTTGACGACAGTCGCACATTACTACGACCGCTGAGCTGCTCTTTTGATCACTTTTTGGTTCTCAAGTGGAAGGGGTTTAAAATGGTTGACTTACTTTAACTCCAGCCATTTTTCTAGAAACCACCAAAATATTCTTCATTGAATATTCACCGATCTTCAGTTGCTTCAGAGCTAACGACTGATTCATTCTGCAGGCGAATTCCCAAGGACGTCTCCCAGACCTATTTGCTTTTTCAGAGATGCCTATCTCGTCTCCTTCTGGTTCTGGACTTTCGAGGAATACAATGCTAACTCTCGGTACATTACTTACTCTTGTTGAGCGCTGTTTGTCCATAATGCGGGTGTGTTCATTGTGAAACATTTTCGAGTAGTATTCATTGAAATATTATCTCTGCTATTCTGGTCACGTGGCAGTTGTTTCATCAAACACATTTTACTGGTTGGTTATGTGATGACTAGTCGGGCCAGCTTTGGTGGATAGAGTCTAGTAGTCATTCGACGGACGCAGTTCGAGAAATACACTCGTCTTCAAAGCGGTTTGTTTTCAACGAGGAATTTAGCCAAACGCCATTTGAATCTCTCGAGGACTGTGCGCCAAGAGAGTTTACGAGTTATAGGAGAGTGTGCATTAACCTTGTGAATAGTTCTCCTTTAAGGTAATGTACTGCGATATCTTGTAAGTAAAGTATGAGGCAGCATTTATACAGCTCATTCACTTGAAACTATAGTAGAAGTATAAGCTGAGATTTTGATGATTCTGTAGTTAACACCAAAAGAAATTGAAAACAAGTGCATTTCATGAATTCCGTGCATTTTTGTATGTAATATAAGGTTAACGGGAACTCGAACACAGCCCCTACTCGATAAGTCCCAAGAACAGAGAATCTTGTTGTGTGCCGCCCAAAGGTTTCGGCCGCCTTGTGTGCAGTTTATTTCGTCAAGGAAACTTCCTACTGTGTTCTTCTTTGTACAGGCTGATGCCAAACTCAGCTGTGTTGGAAAACGCTGGTACAATATGCTCCAGAACCTGTGCTCACAAGAGAAAAAGCTCTGAAGGGTTTGGCTGGCTTTGAAAGCTTGCCCTTTTTGAAGCAGAGGACGGGGGTAGGATGTGCAAAAGTTCCTATACCAGCCAGATTTTGCTTCTAACGGTAACTAGCATTTTTTTAAAAAAAATTTGTCATATTTTCCCGGACAGATACATCATGCAAGCAACAGTTCATCACTTTGTCTGTTCGATGGCGCCAGGGATCTTCTGATAAGTTCAAAAGCGAATTTGGGTAGCTGCTCAATTTATTAACCGCACTGTTGTGACAGTGTTTGTCATATTTCCCGGACAGATACATCATGCAAGCAACAGTTCATCACTTTGTCTGTTCGATGGCGCCAGGGATCTTCTGATAAGTTCAAAAGCGAATTTGGGTAGCTGCTCAATTTATTAACCGCACTGTTGTGACAGTGCTAAGTTTAGCTCTTCGGCGCTTCGTTTACATACAGCAATGAGGTCTTTTATGGATCCAAGTTTTGCTGGAATCGAACTCTCCATGTTCCCGGCCGAAAAACTCGACTCTTTGTGCTGAATGTTCAATGTGTTCCACGGGTTTCAAACTCTTCCACACTTTAGCTGATAGAAATTTTGTCAATAAATATCAATGGAGGTTTCGTCCTGTAAGCAAAATCAATCTTATCTGAATATCCGGGGGCATTACAAAGCTGTTCCATCTCTATTGGGAATGTCCTACAGTATTTATTCCGCGAATTTTTTTCTACAAAAAGCCCAGTTTCTTCCTGAACCACTCTCAGCAAATCAGGCTCGAACAAGAGATCCAAGAGATCAGTAAGTCATTCACCATTCTAAGACCCGAAAGGACTGAAAAACACACCGTTCTCACCTGAAACGTTACACATCAAAAAGTTCAAACTCGATTTTCTATTCAATGTTACTTACATTGAGACAAGAAGTGACCGAGCAGTTTGACGGTCGCCTACGTACACCCATCACGCAATGTAGTTTGCTGACAAAATGCTTTCTAAGGGCAGCCGTCACCAGCGTCTCCATCTGCACTGAAGCGTAAAGTGACTGAGTAGGTTTCGGTTGGCTGCATTGCCTGAAAAAAACATCCTGTTGGCCGGCACCAGCGGTAGACCATAGCTTTGTCCGGTTTAATCCCAAATAAAGTTGGTATCCGTTTCGCCTCCATGGGCCAGATATCGTTCTGTCGTCTAGTTACAGGTGAGAATGCAAACTTTGCGGCCACAATAAGTGGGCATGACACTTATGGGCATGCGGTGTGAAGTGACAGACTGTTCAGGGCCAACGACTTCATTCAGCTAATAGAGGGCGGTCGAGGTTGATACGCACGGGAGGGGCCGTCTTGTGTGCGCACTCATCTGAGTCTGAGTGTTGTTGAGGAACTAACTACTGAATGTAAAATAACAAACAAACACAGCATCTGGGTGTGCGATGTAGTGTTGATATGAGGGACCAATCCCTTACTTTCGAAATAAAGAATCAGTCAGGTCCATGAGTCAGCCTCACTTACACACGGCCTGAATGTCCATGTGCCCACGTACACCTTAGTTTGACTAGTTATCTTTAAAGTTCACAAGGAGTAGTAGAGACGTACAGTATTACTTGGAAGTCATGAGTAACGCATATTGTGATAGGTTGCTGGGCTTTCAGAGTTCTAGAATTCCTCCTTGTTTCAACTCCAAATCTCATGTTGACCCAAAACCAGGGCGTGGAAGAGGGCGCAGGCTTCAGTGTCCACGTGTGACTCTCAAGGAATATCTTCTGCCACAACCAGTTTGCATCAGCTAGTTCCATACTGGTCCTCAAAGTAAGGCAGATTGTTGGTCATTAACTGATGTATGGCCGAGTCTCTGCGGCGTTTGAATTACAGCGAAACTAAATTTACCTATATTTTCCAAGCAGACGATATCGTCAGGCTCTTGATACCGTCGGTGTAGCTCAATAGCCATGACCGTCATCTTATCATCTTCTACATTTTCGGTGTTCAACTTGTTACAAAGTCGGATAAGGATAACTCGTTTACTTGGAACTGTGGATGCAGCACCAAGGCAGCCATCATCACCGCGCCATACAGAGCACTCTCCATATGCATCTTCTCCTGGTGCAGTAGATTTGTTAATCATATTTCATAAACGTCCTTTTGTTTCAACTGCTTCAGTTTCATTTGATCATAAAGTGCATTCGAACTAAGCAGGGTGACGGCAATATGTGTAGATAGCTACGAGTCGGCGGGCCTGTTTGATAAAACCTTTACATCTATACTTTATCTCAATGTGACAGAAAGTAGGTAGTCGTTAGCCAAAGATAAATAATAAATAAACAAGCTGAAGTTGTTCTGGACTGCGAAACTGCCAAGCCTTTGCTCAGTGTACAATTCGCAGAACTTTTTGAGTTCAAACAATATGCTTCTTTCTAAACGTGGAAAAGGAATTCCTTCTCAAAATTGTGGGTCCCATAAATTTTCCAAGTAATGAGTGTTAGCAGGATACTCCCCCAGTCGCCGGGCCAAACCATCAAGTTAGCCATTCATCTGCGTAAACTTTACCACAGATCAATACGGATGAGCGGGGCACCAGGCCTGATCTACAGCGACCGTCTTCTGAAAGCCGGAACGCCAAATAATGTCTGACGGAAAACGTTGTTGCTCACTCTTCCAGGCAATGACCTCTCGAGATTCAGCAATCAGTTGCACAAACGACATGTGCTTTTTCATCCGCGAAACCCAATCGAGTTGAAGAAAAAACTTTAAAGTGACTCAGCCACTGCACTTTACGCACTTGAGTGAAGTCATTTAATCAACTTCGATGGTGCACGTATACTGCAGTTGGGATTCAAATCACACGTGGAACGGGCGTGCTAGGAAGTACTCGAGACCAACACACAGCCGAACTGCAACAACCTTAGTGATGGCGGCAGTATCCCGTCTGTCTGGCTTGGACTTACTGTACACCTTGTTAGACACAATAGTCAGGAGTCAAGCAGGGACTCCAACGATCACGCATCACAGCCTGTACAACAGCGAACGGAGGCGCATCCCAATCGAAGTGCGTTCAAAATCACGAGCTAACACACCCACGCACGCTGGTAACACTTGACTGCCAACTGATCTCAGCAACACACCTATCAGAAGACATGATTGCGGACCCAAATGACAACGCACTTAAGTAGTACACAACTGTTTGTAGAAATCCTTTAAAAATGTTGCCCAAATAAATCGAAAAGCGGGATTATAACATCTTATTCGACTTTGCTGTGTTTTGAATTCAAAAGTTTCCATAAGGTATTCCGTTTTAATTACTCTAGTGAAAACTAGGGGTGATAGGATGATGGACTGAGTGGGGATTAGACTACTCAGAAACCCGATAATATTTTCCTTTTCTGATAGTGATTCTGAAGCGTTCTTTACTGTTTCTTCAACGTTCTCTGCGTAAATTTTCAGTACAGCGAACTTTTGTGAGGGTCCCTATTAGGAATTTTACTTAGCCAATCGGTAAACCATGTAGCACCTCATGTACTTTTGACAACTCCGTTCAGTGTGCAATTAGAGAACTTGACTACGTCCTTACCCCTCATACCTGCAGTGAAATTACACGGAAGATGTGATCCATTTCACTTGTCCCGTGTACCGTCCAGTCAGTTTCCCTGAGGCTAAATACTGTCAACTGGTACCGTCACACAGATGTCGTGTTGGGTGCTGATGTGGTTTACCGCTCGATTATACCACTTCGGTTGGCTGTAGTTCTGCTACTTTGTTCACCTTTCACTGACAGTGTTTGCATACGACTGGTGGAAGTCGAGAATAGTATTGCCTCCTTGTAGTTTAAAGCGTCCTAGTTAACTGGCTGTTCAATCTGAAGTTATTATTTCATTCTGTTGTCTTCATTCACTGGTGACAAAAATCTCGATAACGGCAAGGACGGTACCGAAATACAGCCAATTAGGCCGAGTCTGTAAAAATTCACCTAAAAGCCGGAAGGCTAATCATTCTAGTTGGTCCACGAGTATGGTTTTGTACTGTGCTCCTACACGGCTCACCTAATGGGTATTCCGGTGACTGAGCGCGTTGCTACGTCTTCTTAGGGTCGAACAATTTGACTGAGGCAGTTTGGCTGTTTGAAAACCCAAACCAATCAGAAGGAATTGGTTTTAAACTTTATATTTCCTTGCAGCGAACGAAATGCCTCAAAAATTCATAGTTTATAAAATTACGCAACCCTTAAAAACAGTGACAAGCAATGAAAGATAATATTTACTTTCAGTGCCGCGGTACACGATCCTAAAGGCTATTACCCCCACTTAACTCACATTAGTCTCGTTCCCTAGGCGTGCGCCGAGGCAGGCCGGCTCGTATCCATTTAGTTCACACCAAACCCGTGGTGTTCTATGTGTGTTTGCAAAAGACGGAGAAAAAAGATATTCTGTTTCAACCAATTCATTATTTCCAGGTTTTCTCCATGGGGATAAAATCTCGTTCCGGAGGGATGACGGATCGATTATGGCAACATTAGAAGCATGGATTTTGGCAACGCTACAAAGTCCTCAACAGGACACAACCAGGACAGCTGCTCGATCTTCCTTCGAGGCGCTGGGCACAATCAACCACTACAGGCATGAATATGTTCGCGTGTTCAGACTTCAAAAATTAGAGGTGCCTAGCGTGTACCGGTAGATAATTGATAGCACGCTCGTCTCGCAGTCCATACTTCCGTGATGGATATTCCGGGGCGACCAAGCCTATACACTGTCGGTTGACTCTAATAAAAGATAAAAATCCCCGTCAGCATACGGGTATTGTTCAAACAGCAGTGACCTGTGAATTTGGCTGGAGTGGTTGACAGGAACTTTCGGTCCCGGGACGAATGCTGAGGTCTCCCAGACACTACATGACCATCTGAAACGAACCACCGTGGAACTAGACATTGTTCACAGACATAGGACTTAGTCAAACTGATGCTACCTAGTGCTATTCCTTTGAATTTCGAATACGTACCAGCCCTTGTTGAGAGGCGATTCACCCACAAGCCAAACCCAAGTAAATGATTGGTTCAAAAACTATCACGTGACAAGGGCTAACAGACGATGTCACGTGACCGCCACCACCCCAAATGCAAGAGGCATAGCATGTAAACTGAATCACTAATCCACTGCATCCCGTGCATTGTTGGTTAAGTGGGATAACTCTGTTGTTTTGACCGATCGCATGCATGGGCCGCGGATCCAATTCACTGTCCGCTGTGTGTCTAAATTGAAAACCAACTGGAATCTCCTATTTTTAACCAGGCTACTGGGCGTCCAAATTCCTAGCTGTGCTTCTGATTATGTTTTCTTGAATTCATTCTGTTTCCTGAGTAAAGGCGGTAACAAAAATAGCTAAACTAAGGAGATCACGTGAAGGGGAAGAGGTCAGTGAAGAGCACCTTAGAATAAATGGACATATCCTAAAGTGTCATCTTTGACAACCATTACACGCGTGAGTTGTCAAATAGCAACGCGTGTTTGTTTAGAATTTCCCGAAATATATCCTGTAAATTATAATTGATGATTTTTATCACGTTTTGATTGCTCAAGCTTCCCCATTTTTTTCGCGTGACATGCGTCTAACGCGTTCTTGACTTGACCTGCTTGTAAACTCCATCTGAAAGCGCGCATTTTGGCTTTTGGAGCGATTAGCCAATCAGAATGCCGGCTTGTATGTAGATGGTGTGCCTCACTTTTCTATCTCTATTTTCAAATAAACTAAATTTCGCATCGACAGGAAATCACTCTGTGAAGCTGAGTACTCAAACGAAAACTCAACAAAGACTGAGGAAACAAGTGTTTGGTTACAACCGAACGAGAACTTTCGTGGATGTTGTATCAGTCATGTTGATCGCCCATGTGACCTGATCGATCTAGCAGGCCACATTGTCCAAGTGATGTAACTGAAACTGGAAAAGGCACTTTGCTTGGTCTGGTTTTAAATAAGCTGGACAACTCGCCTATTTTTTCTTCGAACTCTGTGGATGACCTGAAAACTTCCTAATCATGGGTCAGAATCTTGATCATTTGGTTTTCCAGAAGCACCATGTGTACTGCAGTTTCCCATGCTGCGCATGCCAGTCTCGTGAATCCCTTTCTACAACACGTTGCAGCACTTAAATCGCAAAATCTGTCTTTCAGCTGTTCATGTCTGTCGGCACTTCTGCCAGATTTACTAAGCACCAATTGTGGATACACTATCGTTCACTGAGAACCAAATTTTGTTGGATAGGCTAAAGCGCGTAGCATTGCGCGCACAGTGTACCGCACACGGTTGTTTCGTGAAGTCATTTGGTCATTTCTGAGGCGGGCACCTGTAGACTCACAAAGAGCATGTTCCGACAATGTATGTGAGGAGAGAAATGTGTGTGTCGTTAAGCGACAATCAGACTGGTCCGTGTGTGAAGGGGTGGAAGGGTGTGCACAGCAAGACCGATAGGTAGTCAGGCGTAAAAAGGAACAGGATACCGACCAATGTTCGCTCCAGTGCACACGCGTAGACTGTGAGAATGTGCGAGAAGGAGATTTAGACGGATCAAACAATTATGCAAACTCTGTTGCGGTCAAACCGGTGAGATGTTACACCTTCCACACAACTGCCTGAAGGAAGGAATTTCAAACGAAAATGGTACAATAAATCTTGCAGAGCACACCTCAAAAGCACGCTCACTGAAGACGCGTAGTCATGCTTCTATTAAAGTATGAACCATCCCGTTTGCTTGCACCCTTGTTCCATCCCTTTCTTCCGATTGTAAGGTTGTTGATAGTTAGCTGTTGTCAGTGCGCGTGCGTTCCATGCTCAATGAGGCGATCAGGCGGTATCCTGTTCCTTTTCACGCTTGAGTAACGTTTATTTTCTGTCCACAGACATTTACTGCTCAGACAGGGTATGTTCCATCCTACCACCCTTTACACAATCTTTTCACGTATCGTCGAGAAACTGAGACCCTCTGACACAACTGTGCAAATATTGGAGGGCAAGTGGCCTGTTTATTTTGGTCCGTTCAGACTCAAACAAAGTACTTTGTAGTATTCAGTGACAGGTTACGGCCCAACCGAGACTTTGCATATTGTGGTAATTCGTAGGCTAAGTAAACTGAGGGTTTCCCCTCTCATGTGCAAATAGTTTGCCTGACCAACCTGGTCAAAAATTAAGGGACAAACAACCTCGGTTTTCTGGTTGTACTTGTGCGTGGGGAAAGCTGGAAAGCAGGTTGTCTTACCATAATCTTCATGAGAGTTGAGGCACGACTTGTGGAGATTAAGATTTTTCTTTCTTCATTTCGTCATTGTGAAAATTCTTTCATACCGATTTGGTATTAGTGTTTTATGGCGTGATGATAATGATGAAAAGATCCTGCGTCTAATCACTACATATATCTACATACAAAACCATCTAAACTGATTCTTTGTGAAGAGACCAGTCTGTTTAGAACATACACAATGGCATCGTCAACAGTTATGACGGAGACTGGAACCCTACCTTCAGTAAAGAGATTCCACAGCCGCCTGAACTGCCCATCCTTCTGAGGGAATGGTTATGTCGTCAATAAAGGAAAAACGTACAAACGGTAAGTAGTTGAGGCCACAACCAGTTGTTGCGCCCTCGAACATAAATCATTCAGCTGTAGCAGCATTTCGGTGCCTACCTGCCCTGCCACACAAAGGAGGCACGAGAGATGGGATACTGCCGGAATGCCCAAGCCTAGACAAGGGAAGTCGAGAGGCAGAGGTCGGGTTCGAACTACGGACGTTCCGGCCAGTAGATTCGCGCTCTAACCACTTGGTCCATCTCGCCCCTATGATGAACATGGCTGATGGGAATGAAAAAATCTTACTGAATTCACTCACTAGCATAAGGACAATTCTCCAGGGGGATTTAACAGTACTGACCACTCGATTTATTCAATTTTTTATTCAGCTGTAAGCAGCATTTGGTGCCCCCCTGCCCTGCCACACAAAGGAGGCACGAGAGATGGGATACTGCCGGAATGCCCAAGCCTAGACAAGGGAAGTCGAGAGGCAGAGGTCGGGTTCGAACTACGGACGTTCCGGCCAGTAGATTCGCGCTCTAACCACTTGGTCCATCTCGCCCCTATGATGAACATGGCTGATGGGAATGAAAAAATCTTACTGAATTCACTCACTAGCATAAGGACAATTCTCCAGGGGGATTTAACAGTACTGACCACTCGATTTATTCAATTTTTTCTCCTGTTATGTCTTCAACTGTCAGCTGTTACGCATCTCTACACCGTCTTGATCAGCCCTTTACTCAGTCCACAAAGGGACATGACCTACTGATCACTTATTCTAAAAAGGCCTGTGAAGATAAATGCAGAACGGAAATGCTGACACTGACTTATGGCCTCAATGAAAAACCACTAGGGGGTGATATGAGTGGAACAATCCCGACTGATTTCGTACACATCGGGACTTACTCCTCTCTCCCGTCCATTACCGGTTTCTTCGCACCATTGAGGACCTAAATTCAAGTGACCACTAACTGAGGCTATACAACAATCAGACGCGTTTTGTTTGTCAAGCATTGCTTTACAATCACTGTTTTGTTTGTTTGTTCAATTTTTCATTGGGTTCTTATTTGTTTCCGGCCGTGAAATTGGTGTGTTTGATCAAGCATAGTTGATGTCTACGGTCTGCACACCTTGAAGACACTGACTGTTTATCCAAGATTATCTGAGTAGGTTTCCGACTATCTTTGTTCGTGTGCTTGTCTTTAAAGAATGCTTTCAAACCGATGATGTTGATGAACCGCACAGCTCCTATATGCTTGAACAAATGCGTGTCAGTCGCTTGTCGCCGTCAACCTTGAATTGGTTCATTGAGAAGGAACAACGTTGAGGCGAAAGTGGTCGTGAGCTGTCGAAGAAATTTCAGCAACCTTATGAGTAGTTTCCTTTACGAAAACGTTGAAGGTGATTCGCCAAGTGTTAAACGCACATACGCTGGGCGGAAATTTGGAGCCGTTCAGCAGAACGCACACTGCGAAGGCAAACTGCTATTCTCGTGAAATGGCATCTAGTTGTGGCCGTGATTTTCTTATATGTATTGAAATTTTGGGTGTTGTACTGTTTGGCTGGCTTTCTCAGCGCAAGGCGCAAGAAAATACAAAGAACATCTGATTGCTTCTGCATAGCTTCTGATGTTCCTGGCTACTTACAAAGCACCTGTGATACAGCTGATCTACAGCGCGCGTTAACTGAGTCAACCATTTGATGAAGCTAGACGTTGTACGGTTCTTTGTTCGTCATCACGCGTTACTATTTATCTCCTAGCACTTATCAAATGCTGATGTAATGTGCAGACAAGCAAAATAATGTTTGGAAAGTTCACCTTGGTTGAATATTCCAGTAGTTCCGACAAGAACACAGTGATGAACTCTGATGTTTTCGGGATCTCGCCATCAGGTCATTAGTTGTAATGAAACAACCAGTGAAAATTGGTTGCCGAATTAAACAAAATGATTTCTACGAACTCTGGGTCAGTCTTGCTCATGTGAAACGAACTGACTGATCCAGTGCTCAACAACCCTCTAGCTCCCCCTCACAACACCCAATAGGGTTCAATTTGGGTTTTGTTGATAGGCAATCGTCCGTGTCTCGGCGTTTCCTAATTTAGTAGCCATTCTTGGCTGCTCGTTTCATTATTGAGTTTGCAGAGACATTAACGTTCGACAGTAAGTTGATTTCACGCTAAGCATGTTTCATAACTTCCTATGGTTGTTCATTACTTCTGCAGCGGCCTCACCACCTTCTTCAACGCGATTGGTTGGATCACTAGCGAAATTGTTAACCGTAATTTTGCATTGTAAATAAACTGGCAGAATGCAGTAAGAGTGGATCAAAGTCTTCATCTGCACATTCAGATTCTGACAGGTAGTGAGGAGATTTTTTAGTTTTACCCTGTTAGGGTAGTTAAGTTGTGCAGGATGACGAGAATTCCCATCGGCTGGGTGAGATGGCCGAAGTGGTTGGAGCTCAAATGTACTGACCGGAAGGTCCGTGGTTCGAACCCGGCCTGTCCCTCTTGATTTCCCCTGTCTAGACTTGGGCAACCTGGAAGTATCCTACCCCTCATGCTTCCTGCGGGTGGCATGGAAGCTAGGCATCGGAAGGGTGCTACAGCTGAACGAATTCTCATCGAAATACTTTGTTTTTCTTCGAATATGTCTAAAAATTGGCGTGATTCACGTAGGTTCTAAGAATGAAACAGCCTGTTGGCTTTTTAATGTGAACCGACTCACATTACGTGAGTGGAACATGCGAATGGGATATGATTGAAATGAACATTTTTGGCGGCCATTTTAGTCGCGGTAATAGGTTGCCTTCGGTAATGACGATTGTAGTGACCGGTTTACCTATCTTCCCTGTCTGAGTCTAGTAAAGGCGAAGAAAAACCGGTTCCAGTGAACAGGATCATAGTCCTTGTGTCTAGAGCTTGCTCAATTTGGGAATCCACTACATTTTTCTGTGTTTGAATACAATTCCGGTTCATGTCTCAAAAAGTTTCTCGGCGTATCGATTAGAACCCGAAGAGTACTTGACCTCCTGAGTGGGACCCGAAGATTTGAGTTGTATGCCAAGGGCTGAACATACGCATACATCTTGAACTGACAGATCATTTTCCGATTACTATAGAGCTGGGCTATGATCTCACCCAGTTGTCACAGAATGTTAAGTTACGACAGATAGCCTCATTCAATCCAGAATTTGGTCGTGGCTGGAGACTCAACTGAATCCATCTACACATCTCTTTTGTGATGGTCCGCTTCAACCGAATGTGCCCCTTATGTTTCAGAACTCGGGATTATCTCGAAGGAGACCACCATAAATAACAGACTCAGCTGGATTCGGCCGAGTCTCCTGTCAAGACCAAATTCCTGTGCAAGTAACACCATTTGCTAAAATCTGTTCAGGTTGGATTCAGGTAGAACGTAAAGTTGATGGAAACTTAGGGACTGTGCCTACCTGATGAGCCCCAAGAAGGGCGAAACCGGTCGTGGACTGTCGAAGAGCTTTCAGCAACCTCGTGAATAAATTCCTTTATGAAAGCAATAAAGGCAGTTGAATAGAGTTGGTTTCAGGGTTAGAAAATTAATTTCTCGGTCGTGAACTGTCGAGTGATTTTCAGCAACCTTATAAGTAGCATATAATACCTAATTACTGGTATCCTTATTGTTCAGGCTGGAGAATTTAATCCTTGATGCAGCCGAAGTTTTTCTCTACTGCTGCGGTGACACTCTTGTTATACAACTTTGGCTTGGTTCAATGCTTAATCGGTGACTGGCGGGGGTAAATTCATTGACATAAACAGCAATAGGACAAGCTCAAGAGAGAGAATATTCCACATGACGAATGAACTATCCACCTGAGAAGTGTTCACTCCAGCAGCCAGCCAATACGTGGTCACGTGTTGTCTATTTCGAGATCGAAGCAGAGGCATTATATTCCGTCTAAGTGCGAGTCAGCCACACCGCTGATCAGCCCTCACAGACAAACGGCTTAGCTTCGACTGCTAGCCGGAGGGGTGTGGGGGTGAATCTCCTTGAGGTTTCGTGAAATGTTCACCGAAGATGATACTCAACAAGGATGAAACAGCTGTTCAGGGCTTCTTAGGTTTCCAGCTTCACTTACAGGACAAAACATCCATTGAAAAAGTTCATTTTGTTAATCTAGCGTTTGGATTCGTCCATATTTTATCGTTGCAACTTGGTGGTCATCACAGACTGCTAAAAAGCTGGTGCTTTAGCATTGTTTTTGATATCGTTAGTTATTGTGCATCAAGTGGTAGTCACTAAAGTCCCTGCTTTATTCATCTTCCATCTGTTTTAACAAAGCACACTTTGCTGACTGGTTTTCACAACTTCACATCTTCGAAGCGTCTCCACAACTGCATTTCCGGATTCCAACAACTTCAGGCATAGGCTGGTGAATTTTTCGTCCGCTTTGCTTTGGGCTATTCGCGGTAAAAAGCTCATCTGAAACCTGGTAAAATTCTTGAGATACACTCGCTTGAAGAACAGATCGGTTTTAATAGGAAGCCAAAATGAATTCCAGTAGAATCGCTCGTCTGTGACATTTCTCATCTGATCGTGAGCATCCGAAGAATTTACAGCGACCTTATACACAGTTCCAGCCGGGAAAAAATACTAGAAAAGTTCTTCTTTTGCAAAAAAAAACCGCACTTAATCACTTGTTATCAGATTTTTTTAATTTTGTCTATTCCAGGTTTTCCCACGTAATTCAACCCACCGGGGAAAACTTTGGTCTGCTTAAGAGACTCTTGAAAGTGACTTGCCGGATAAACGTCTTTCTTTCACCTTCATTCCTAAGTTTTTTCTCCTAAAATGACGTTTTCTGCCTGTTCATAATTTCGCCCATCGGCAATTGATCAGATCGCTCTTGATCTGTTTGCCAGGTTTGGCAGTTGACGTGCAAACGTTTCGTTTCGACCAGTAAGACTTCATTTGAGATTATCACCAACAGTTTATCAGATTATAGCTCAAAGCCGCTCTTTACTCACTATATAAGTGCGCAAAAAGAGGAACTGCCCACCTAACAGCGCACCGAATGGTGACGAGACGTCTACAAGAAAATTGCCAAGCTCGGCGAACAGATTAATAACTAAATGAGCAATTGCCAATGATTACACTACCAATTTTGCCCATATGTAAACAGTGGTGCATCTGTACTTAGCACGCTTCTCACAGGGTTGCCAATAATTCCTTGGGATTCCACGACCCGTTCGACCTCCTTGGGGGTCATCAGCTGGGCGTAGTCGCCGAGTATCCATCAACCTCATGATCTACCTGAACGTAAATTGGATAGAATTCGCCCTCATTTTCACACTAGTTTGGTTTCAACGGTGACTCAACTGAAACCAGCTGAATATTTCATTTCTGATGGTTTTCTGCACTTCATCTTTCCTTTGGTGTAGGTAAGACTACACTAAACTCATACTTTATTATGACGTGGCAAGTGATCACCCCGAATCGCAGTCACTCACCGAGGAGGCCACGTGATGAATGTTACCTTGGCAAATTATGTTCAGAAATGACGGATTTATGTCTGGAAGAACTTCAGTAAAAGCTATGACCAATGAAGCACTAATGACAGTAGTGCACGTGTGACAAAAACCGGTATAATGACGAATACTACTGGTGGTACATGTGAGTAGTATGTGGTTTTCTCGTAACTCCGCCTCGCGTCCAATGGAAGGTGAGGTTTGTTATGGAACTTATGGAACTGCTGTGCAGCGTTCGTTTACAATAGCGTGATATTCAATGGATTCAAGTAGCTGCGCGAGAATGTCCAGTTTTTAAAACACGGTGCATATGAGACGTTTACTTTCCCGTCCAATAGTTTGTAACTGTTTAGTTGGTGTTTGCTGATTGACGACCTCACGGTGAAGGGCTTTCATCCTTACGCCTTGCCATAAAAGCATGGAGGAAGAAAGCCCTTAGTGAATAGTGGGGACAGAAAGACTATATGGGGGCTTGTGCGAGAATGGCGCATTTTCTTAAGAGAAATAGTCAAGAATAAGGTGCCCACGCCTGAGCATCATACTGAAGTAGCGCTTCACCAGTCGAACTGATCTAGCATTCTTTGTGGACCTCACTTTGCATCATCCTAGTGCAGACCAACAAGCAAACTTTAGCCACGTAGTCTGATTAGGAAATGACAGCAAGAGCACCAATAGGAATTGTTGAGTGTCGTTTCCTCGCGGAATTTCAAACATCTGAAAGTAGGATGCTGTGGGCCCCGGACAGAAATGCGCAAAGATGCTTTAGCACACATACTGACGGTAATTAAACTCATTTTAACTTGCCATTTCCTGACGAATAGGTAGCAATGAATTTATCGTCTCGATATCGCCAGACAAAGTTGAGGACCAAAAGCGATGTTCGTTATTCTGTTGACATGTCAGATCGTTTACCAGGATCGACGAATCTGACGGATTTTGACGCAAATTCCATATTTATGCAACAGACCATCAATCACGATAACTTTCCGGAGTGTTACATGGCCTTCGTCGCACAGTTGGGACCTTTTCTTTCACATGCTGTGTCAGTACGAAAATGGCGCACCGAATATGTTCAAGTGCAGCTTTTCTCGTCGCCTAAAAGCATTCACACTCGGTGCCACTTCTCCGGTTTTTCTTGCCGTGAATAACAGCTACTAATATTGTTGTCAGGCCGAAGGAGTCTATTCTAATTTTTACGTATAATGTGTGTTCCAAGGTATACTTATTCGGAGCTTGTTGTTCAAATCCCGAGCTGACGTAACGAGTGTTTTCGTTTGTAGCTTCATCACCTGCTGATAGGTTGGAAGCGTTAGAGTTGATGCAAAACGTGCCAGCTTTCACCTCTTTTTCTCAGCCAACCGTAACTGCAGTTTCCAGGGTTTTTTTCCATTGTGGTCCGACAGACTCAGGCTTCATTGGTAGGTCACACATGTAATGCTATGTGTGCGAAATTGCTTGCGAAAGAAAGTCGGTGTATGTCTCCAAACATCTGTGAAACGCGCAGTTCCATTGAGACCATGTCGATACTCTTGCTTCTTCCAGATCCTTGTATTCTGAGGCTGTTTATATTCGAAGGCGACGAATGCATACTTGAGTCAGTTGCAAGAGCAACTCGTCAACTGGTTTTTAGTCAGTATTCCGCCCAGACTAAGCCTACAACCCAGTTCAGGCACAGATATACTGAAAAAACAGTGGGCCCAGTCGCCTGGTGTTCACAATTTGAGCACTCAGCTTCTAAAATGAAGCAAAAAATTCAAAGTAAACTTGCTAACGTTTTTTTTGCTAAAAAGTACAATCCATTCTTCATCGGGTTCCACAATGTTTTACTGGCTCTTTGACGATGAGAGCTTCGCACAGAGGATGGGAGCAAAAGCGATTTGTTGTGCTCAGGGGTGAATAGATCCCCATTACGATAAACCATTTGATTTTTGCCTTTTTTCCATGGCCTGGCCAGATGTTGCGTGCTCCGATTAGTAACACCGTACTTTTCTTCAAGGTAGGAACCATGTTGTATTCAGTGAAATTATGAATTGGCAACGGATGATGATCTGCACTGATAAACAATTCTCTGGGAGACAATTCCGACGCTGCTCCTGAGCACACCACTATTGTTGACGACAAGGTTTAAGTGAATTTGTTTGCAGCTAATTTGCAGATTCACCTTGAGGATATTCACTCCGTCTGGCGACATCGCAACACAGCGAAATCATTCTCGTCCCGAGTGAAGCGAGGGGGCGTATTTGCAAGACGGACTGATGTAGAGAATAGATAAAGACACGCAAAGCCAAGAGGCGAAGGTGAACTGAGGACACGCAAGCCTAGGCGCCTTTCTAATCAGGTGGACGATGTTCCTGTCATTGATTTGTTAAAATAAACCCTGGGCACCGGATGCTTTTTCAATTCTGAATAAAAATTTATCATAAAGAGGAAAGTCCACAATGACATTAGACTATGGTAGTTTTTTTGAAAAAACCACAAGGAAATTGAGTGGAATATGCACTTAGAGTTCAGGGCTTTGTGAAGAAGATACGAGCCTTTTTCCGCCAGTTAATGAATGTGCCGAAAAGGTGTTCTCATACCACAACTGACAGAGGGGTGAACAATCGTATCACACAAGTTTTAACAAAGCAGGTATGAGTTTGGTCATCATCACATGTACTTCAGGCTTTACTGGGTATTTAATCAAGTCCCAGTAACAAGTTCTGCTAGATACCCTTGTCTGAAATTCGTTGTACAGATTTTGCAGATGGTGTAGTAAAATTCTCCGACATCGCGAGAGCTCATTCCTTATTGTTCTATATCACAAAAGCGAAGAGTGGAGAGACGTTGTAACACTGGGAAACAATCCGTTCGAGCCACAACAAGCATAGAAGAGTGTAACAACCTTGTGTGAGTGGTCTTCTGAGAGACACAATGACCCCCTCTTCCACACTATCATTAGAATGAAATTCCATTTTTATTTGTACAGAAAGAGAGCAAAGGTTCGCATAATGCAATCGTTCGTTTGGAGTCATTGGGTGAGGGAAGTGCCGGCTGGGTGGTAAGAAAAAACGCGGAGATTATTAGAAGTTGTGACTGTTCAGCAAAGAGCTTTGCACTAGTTTCCTTATTTAGTAACTGGGTTGATTCTATCCTGAAATGGCGAGAGTTAACATACAGCTCTTTATCCTTGTTGAAAATTACCATCATTAAGCAATTCGCCGGCGATATTAGAAACTTGGTTCTTCCGCTTTTGTCGCTGAACTGCATACAATCCGGCGGCACGAGTGGCTGAACAGAGTGCAATTGGTCAACATTTCGAATTACTCTAAGGGCCGGCGAGGTGCACATTATTGGCGATTCCCAAGAACTAAGCAGTTGTACGAGGCTCTTTGTTCTGAGTTCAGCTTGATTCTACCTAAAGCATGAAATAGTGGGTGTAAAATTTCAGAATCTAATCGCTAGCCAAAAAGCGTGAACAAACACATCTGACAAGCTCCACGAACCCCCGAGCTGAGAAGTATTCAGGTAAGCTGAGGACTCCGGATAACATGTACACTAACAGCTCACATCGGATCAGTTTCAACAGAGTATACATGGCCCTTGAACGCCACAAAACATCTAAAAGCTGACTATAAGCACACGCGAAAAGCTTAAAAAGGTGTGCATATTTTTTTGTTCTGAATCCCGAAAAATATCGGACCCAGTCCGACTTAGAAACCGGCGACCTAAACATCAGGTGAAATTGCTCGTCCAAAGTCTCTGGAACGTTGAGAGAAAAACATCAAAAAGGTACATCATTTGGTACTATCATTTTCGTATGAGTTTCCGTTGTGTAGCTGAAGCCAACCTATGAAGAAAGCCAAGAGACGTTGCATAGCTGTTTTACCCTGATAGAGAATAATCCAATAGTTACGCGAGTTTCCGTAATCCTTATGTTCTAATTGAAACCAAAATGCATGAGTGTATTTCCGTAATTTCGTGCAATTTGTTTTCAATTAGAACATAAGATTGACGGAAACTCGGGGACTACGCCTACCTGATGAGCTTCAAGAAGGGAGAAACCGGTTCGTGGCCTGCGAGGAATTTTCAATAACCTTATAAGTAGTGCATTACAAGTATACATGTATCGCGATATCTCGAATATCGTAGCGACTGAGACATGAGGCGGCCTGGTGGAGCACATTCAGTTGCTTGGAAACATCACAAACGAGAGATTCAACTGGATTCCAGGTGAGTCTCTCGAAAATGAGTGCAAATGAGTGTATTTCACGAATCCACTATTTAGTTTCCAATCTTCAACTTCCCGGACGTTAGTTTGGACACAACCAGCTGACCGACCGCTGGATAAATGCTGATTATTCGCTAACCAGTATTGAGAAGTTCGGAGCCTCTTGTATCAGTAGCACTACGCAAAACTTGGTTTGAAAATTTGAAAAGTCACTTTGATTGACCATCATTCCTGGATTTGGGGCTTAGATGTATTGCCTTCATATCGGCCTTGTTTAAAGGATTCTCATTTATAGCTAGGAACGTGTTTGGACACATCGCTGATTATGATGTTGCCGATGGTCCCAGTTGGTTGGACAGCAGAAGAACAAACACTCATCAATAGGCCTTCACTGAGTGCGCCATCTGTTCCTTCAACCTTTCTGACCGGTCCGTGGTCTTCTCCGAAGATCTTCCAGTGGACAATGGAAGAGTTGATCTTCTCACACACCAACCGAGGTACCCCCAAAGTGTACTTTTTTTAATTTTCAACTGAGGTTCCATCCTATGCTGAAAAGTAGAGAAGCATTGAACAGCTGTCTTCGTCATCAGCGGTGAATACCTCACGAAACCCTCGGGGAGATTCACCCTGAAAACCAGCCGACTAGTGTTCGGAAAAAGCACTCATTTGTCAATCAATTTGCTTTTCACGAGAGATTCAATTGAATCTCTCGTTTATGATATTCTACAACTGAATGTGCTGTACACAGGCCGCCTCATGTTTCAGTTGGCACGATGTTCCAGATGTTGCAGAATATTTTCATGAAGGAAACTACTCACAAGTTCAAGCAGTTTTCAGCAACCTTGTGAGTAGTTTCGCTCATGAAAATATACTGTGATATCTCGAATATCTTGCCGACTGAATCATGAGGCGGCCTGTGTGCATCATACTCAGTTGTAGAATATCATAAACGAGAGATTCAATTGAATCTCTCGTTTATGATATTCTACAACTGAATGTGCTGTACACAGGCCGCCTCATGTTTCAGTTGGCACGATGTTCCAGATGTTGCAGAATATTTTCATGAAGGAAACTACTCACAAGTTCAAGCAGTTTTCAGCAACCTTGTGAGTAGTTTCGCTCATGAAAATATACTGTGATATCTCGAATATCTTGCCGACTGAATCATGAGTAGTCACAACCAAACGGTTTGTTGGCAAGGCGCTGATCAATGGAGATCAGGTCGCATTTAGCCAGAGTGTGGTACCAGTTTTCCGATCAGGAAATTCACACCAAGTGATCAGTTATTGACTGGCTGTGCGAGTGACTACTTCTCAGATGGGGAATTCTTTCTTCCTGGGAACTTATCCTTCCTCTGAATCACTTACAAATTGATGTTAGTGTGAGATGGTTTGTGAAGTTCAGGTGAGTTTTCATCCTGTCAGAGGAGTCATCACTCGAGGAGACAGTCAGTACGAGATTTCGTAGTATGGTTTCAGTGACTGAAGGATGAGTGGTGCTGTATTCCCTTTGAGAGCTTACCAGATTTCTGATCAGCCGTCCATGGCCAAACGGTTAATTGTTCATGCACAGCCCGGGAGGTTGTGAGTTCAACACTTTCTGAGTTTCGTGAGATGTGATCCCATCAAGGATGAAACTGTTGCGCGGCACTTCTTGACTTTTCAGCATAGATTGGCTTCACTGACAAGATAAAATGGCAGCGGGAGGTTGTGTGAGAATCATTTAGGCATATTTCGACATCCGCACGTGAACAAAGACCGCATGTGTGGTCAAATCAACCGCCGGGTGATAAAACCATTCAGGAAAACACCGCCTTAGTCAAACTATTTTTGAAATCGATCCATTTAGGTTGGAGCCAGGATCCCGGATGGCTTGTGCCGATCTAACTGGTCATCACTTGAACGAATAGCACAAACGACAGATTTGGCTGGGATTCAGTTGAGTCTCAATGTGGAAACCAGACTAGTAGACAAGTGAGTATATATTCGTTAATTTTGTACAATTAGGGTACAATTAGAACAGAAGGTTGAAGGAAACTTGGGGGAGTGTGCTATCGAAGGGTTTTCAGGAACATTGTGAAGTAGATCCTTCATGGAAGTATACTTAACCTGTAAACTTAGTCTGTGGACATCACAAACGAGTGGTTCATCTGGGTTTCAGGTGAATCTCTCGCAAAACCCTGTTTGTTTGCAAATGAGTGTATTTCGCTAATTTCATGCAATTTGCACTCAAGTAGAACATAAGCCTGACGGAAACTCGGGGATGTGCCTATCTGATGGGTCCCAAGAAGGGCGAGGAGTTTTCAGCAACCTTATGAGTAGTGCATTACGAATATACTTAATCTCGTTTTGAATAGAGTTACTCAACAAAAGCTTGCAGTTAAATTAGGATGGGCTCAAAGAGTTGACTGCGTAAATAAATCTGAGGCTTTCATAAAGGAAAATATTCAAAAGGTCGCTGAAAACTCTTCGATAGTCCACGACCGGTTTTTGCCCTTCTTGAGACTTTTCAGGTAGGCACAGTCTCTGAGTTTCCGTCAAACTTATGTTCTACATGAACACAAATTGAATTGATTTCGATAAATACACTCATTTGCAAATCACTTTGGTTTTCATGGGAGACCAAACCGAATCTCTCGTTTATGATATTCTTCAACTGAATGTGCTACACAAAAACCGCCTTATGTTTCAGTTCCACTTGGCTTCAAGTGGAACACACCTCAGGGACTGTGCCTACCTTATGAGCCCCGAGAGGGGCAGTTGTGTGAATAAGTTTAAGCAAACTGAGGTGTATGATTTGTAAGGGTGAATAGCTGACAAACGAAGGCACTGCCGACTCCAAGCTGATCAGCACTCGGTGAAGTGTTGGATTTGTCTTATTCCTCTGAATAAAACGGAGACGAACAATGGACGGAAGCACATACACTCTGGTGAGGAATTACATGACGTGTTAAAAAACACCTCTGGTAAATATGCTGTGCTTTTCGCTTCTGTCAGTATCACTGATGACAATAAACAGCGCAATATAACTCCCTACTTTTAACTTTCTCCTCCACAGTTTGATCGTTTTTCTTTACCGAACGCAGAAGAAAAAGTCTGATGGATTCGCCTTCGGAGACCGTTGAGATCGTTCCTTAGAAACATCAGAGATTTCTTCTACTTTCATACAGGTGTATATAGTTTAGCTGCCAATGCAATCACTCTTTTAGAGGAGTTTGACCATAATTAAGAACCCTTTTCTCACACACAAAGTAGCATTTTATCAAGCTAGGTGAATTCGACTGTTCATATGATTGCATCCAGATAAAACAAACGTTTACAATCGCATCATGTTGCAATAGTGATATGAGGAACTGGGTGGAATCTTCCCCTCAACAGCAACGAAGAAAGTTTCAAAATTATAGTCACTTCTAAACGCGCGGCTTCAGATCAAAGGATGTGGTAATCTTCGAACGATGGCCAGTGTTACACAGGATTCTACTGCAACAAATCCGCACCTAACCACAACTTTTCTGAGCCTAAAAAGTAGTTCCACAACACTTCGAGACTTGGAGTTTAGTAAGGTGAAACTGATAAATGCAAAAACAACTATATGCCGGAGCAGATTCGTCAAAGATTCATGTAATTTGGAAACTTGAAATATAGCAGCAGATAATACTTCCTTCGCAAAAGTAGAACAAACGACTCAAATTGCATCTACAGTTTGTTAACACATTTGTTATAAAAGAATCGCCCCATCATTTTTAGAAAAAATAACCCTCAACAAGCTCCTTAAAACGGTTTTAAATCATGCGTCCCTCCCTCGTAGAACAGACCCCTCTTCAGTTGGTTGTTCTTGGTTTTCTGTAAGAGGGGTGGATAATTTCTGCAACAGATGTGAAAATGCTTTTCTGTGCTTAATTAAAGCTGCTATTCTCAAGGTGTAGTTCGATCAGCCAAATTTAGCGCCTCTCGTCTTCCATTCGTACTTTTAACAACGCTGACGAAATTAAATGAGCTGTAAAGCCGAGTAGCCTGATATTTCACTTGTCGATCAAGTGAATGGAACAGTTTATTGATATGGGCATCCTACATAGGATGTGCTTCGATTGTTTGAGTCAGGTGTCGAACGTACACACATTCAGGTTAAGCAGCTGAGAGGAGACGGAGCACATCAATAGGTTGTGGCTTCATTCAAAAAGGACGTGACCTGAAGTCAAACAAAAACGCTTTGGCTACTGAAGTTTAAACCAAAAGGAGAGGATGAATATTGTTGTAAGAAGTTGTAAGGTTTGTGTGTGATTAAGGCGAAATTGGGGTAATTTTCCTCCAGGAAGAAAGCTCCTTACGGGTTGTTCATCCCAAGTCGAGCGATTCTCATCACCACATCACTACGCATTGATTGGCAGTTCAGAGAACGAATACTTTCACAATATGTGTGAAACTTTTTTCTGAGAAGTAATCACTCGAGGAGTCAGCCAATCAAAATGTGACCATATAATGCGGTTTTCGTCACTGAGGGAGAAGTGGCTCTTTATCTTGTCTAAGTGTGAAGTAATCACTCAGATGGTTAGCCACTGGTGGTCAAACGGATGAACCTTCAACACCACTGTTAGGAAGTTCGTGGGTTCATCACTCTCCGACTTTCATACGATGCGCACTGCTGTTGATTCCCTACGAAGATGAAACAGCTGTACAGTGCAATTCGGCTTTTCGGCGTGGATTGGCTACACTCACGGGACAAAATGTCTTCTGAGTAAATTTAAATTATAAAGAGGGAATCACCAACGGGCGTTGCTGAAAGTGCTTTAGTGCTTCAAAGACCGCTGCTTTCTTAAATGGTATGGGCTCTGACATGGACGAGTTTGCTTTGTTCAGAACACTGAGTCCACCTACGTGAAAGTAATTGGTATCAAGAAGTTTGAAACAAACGCTTGGTCTATTTTTTGATTTGAGATTTTTAATTGTTCAGTAAAATAACAAGGAAACTCTCTTGAGATGCGCATAAAAGTCAGTTTGTGAAG